TTTAATTGCTCGAGTGTTTACGATGCGCTTCAAAAATGTTCAATCCTAAAAGATTTCGGATACTATTTTATTTTTAATTAAAGGAAAGGAAGATAGTAGCCTCCGATTGTTCGAAATGTAACCGGTCGACTAAACCTCAAGTTTTCACACGTTTCAATTAATTTGGGTTGTTGATCGTGGCGAGAAACACACTGGGTATCTATATATGATGTGCATGTACATACAAAGCGTACGAGATTTTTGCAGGGAGCCGAAAAAAGGAGATTATTTTGAATAATATAACACTGAGAAAAATATCCGATGAAATATAATGGGATAATCCAATTACATAACAAACGGATCTATCCAATTAAATTGTATATCCGATGAAAAATATGATCGGTTTTTCGATCAAATTTCATCGGATATGTCCATAATTTAATCGGAAAAATTAACCATCGAAAACACTATTTAATTGGTTTATCCGATGAAACATTTTCTCAGTGAAAGTTCAACACGGCAGACTTTTTGTGACGTTGGACGCAGAGAGCACCTTCCTCGTGTCGTGCCTGAAGTTCGATCGTTAATTATCGTCACCGGTATGCAACGCTTGGCGCGAAACCCACGGTGACACGCCGCCAGGCTCCTCCAGTTAACACCGGATAATCGAGGTCAGCGTAGCTTCTTTCTGCATGAAACATCGCACGTGAAAATTGACATCGGGCGTGTAGAAACGTCGGGTAACGTCCGGCGACGATCTCGTCATGACAATCATCGCGTTACACCCCGCGTGTCCCGGTTGGTCCCAGTGGAAAATGATTCGTCGATCGATGTCGAATCGATATTGACACCTGCAAATTGATGACTGTTCGACATCGATCGACGAATCATTTCTCACTGGGGTCTCAAGATTATATATAAGGGATCTCATTTCCGTCTGTGGACGTCCGATCGCATCCTTGAGCGGAAGACTTTCGCAAGTAATCTCCGTTTTTGTTTACAATATCGCTGAAAGCGATTAGAGAATCGCTTCTGCAGATGTCAATATCACGCGTGACAGATACGATCGCGAATATTTTTCAGCGCGCGATATTTTTAGTAAAATATCTTGATCTTTATGTAGGAACGCTGTTTTATCTTTATGTCCCTCTAACATTCGCGCGAACCGAGCTGCAAAGTCGATTAGCGTGATCCTGAAAGTGATAAATAAAAGAAATTACTTTAACAAGATCATCGATCTCCCTGCACATCTAGTGAAACACGATTCTGAAATCGTTCTATTTAATTGTATCTCATTGCATTTCCCCCCGGATTTTTAGAGGAAACAATTACAATCTAATATTAAATTATCCATGTCGGAATCACGATAGTTTTTAAACGACCCGAGGCAATTTTACGTTTCTAGGACCGCGAGAACACGGGCGAATCTTCGCGATTCGATCTTTCCGGTCGCGGCGAAGGTCCCAGATAGCCAGCCAGCATGCTCAAGCAATGTATGGAAATAAAATGCCAGCAACTGATGCTGACTCTTCGCTAGGAATATGAATTCAATGTTTGAGTGATTTAAGTACAGCTAGCATAGTGTTAACATATTGTCGTAGTCAGTGTTGTGCATAGATGATTTTAAAATTAGCTAGATAAAGATAAGATAAAAATATATAAATGTATCTTAGATAAGATAAAGATGATTTCGTTTTGAATATATCTAGATAAAAGATAAAATTATATGATGATTCATGTAAACTTCATGTAAACACAGTAGAAAAAGTTATAAAAAAATTATAGAAAAATTTAAATTATAAAGGGGGATATAGAATATATTCAGGTTAAGTTATATGACACACACATAAATGCATGGTCTACAACGCCATCCATATTTAAATAGTGTAAATGTTAAGTATTTTTATGTGGCCCTAAATCAAATTATCTGTACGTTATCTTAGATAATTTAGTAAAAAGAACACTTTCTTTCATCTAAGATGCAGATATAGATAATACTTATTTTTATTATCTATATAAAGATAAGATAACGCTAAAATTTTATCTAGATAATCATCTATATAATTTTATTTAGATAACAGCAAACACTGGTCGTAGTTGAGTGCATAGCTAAAGGGAGCACACGCCCATACAGCACGCATGTCTAAAAGACATCTTTAAGATATCTTTAAATCGTCTTTTAGACATACATATCTAAAAGGCGACTTAAAGACGTCTTAAATGATCGAAAAACCGATCATATGTTTCATCGGATATACAGCTTGTTATGATGTAATTGGATTATCCGATTATATTTAATTGGACACTTTTCTCAGTGTAACTAATATTTCGCTGCTTTTCCGTAAGCGATATAAATATGTTATATCTATTAGATCTGGCCAAGCACTTAATACTAGCATAATGTTTGGATCGTGCAAACGTTTCATTTCTGACATCAAATGCTACCCAGTGAGAAATGATTCGTCGATCGACGTCGAAACGACGTCGAATCGACATCGACACTGTCGAATTGGCGTCGATTCGACATCATTTCGACGTCGAACGACGAATCATTTCTCACTGGGTAGCAATCAACCCCTAGTAGCACAACGTATTGGCGCAATATTGGGAAATAATGTAAGTCCAGTATTCCCAATATTGATCCAATTTTGTAAGATGGATATCCCAGATAGCACACTGAATTCACAAAGTATTCTTTAAGTTTTCTTTTTTCTGAATTGTAATTCTTTAGGAATTCATAGAAGAATACAATAAGAGTGACAGAGGAAGTTACATGCACCATAAATCGTTTTCTTGACAACTTCTTAAAGTGTTCATCTCGAAGTCAATAAATGTAAACTTTATGAATTCAAGGGGAATAGTGTTAGAACAAAGAGGATTACAAAATATTTACCCAATGTATGTACACATCTAATATGCAGTAACATTACACCATTATTATAATTTCTCACTCAACAGTGAGATACTCTCAACCGAAGCTCGTTGACAATCGGATGATTCTTCCGTTTCGGTTCTCGTCGTTCGATTCTTTCTTTTACACAATAGAACTATTGCACAAAATTAATTGCACATAACGTTACGCACACAAAATATTGCACGTGGTAACACGCTGCACAAGAACGTCCGGATGGCGGTTAGCGGATACTCGCGCATGACAAATAATTCCTCATAAATTCTTAAAGTATTCACAGTACTGAATCGCCGAAGTATTCATTATAATGAACTTCAGAAGAATACTTCAAGACGAACTGATTGAGACTAATTCTTCAAGAATTCTTCAGATATT